TGTGATCAAAATGAGTAGTAAGGATAGCTATTGAAAGTGAAAGTCACTCAGTTCGGTTGGACTCTTTGCAACCCAATGGACTATATAGTCCATGGAATTCTCCAGGCCAGAATGCTGGGGTTGGTAGCCTTTCCCTTCTCCAGGGGATCATCCCAACCCAGGGATCAAACCCAGGTCTTCCGCATTGCCGACAGATTCCTTACCAGCTGGGCCACAAGGGAAGCCCGAGGATCGCTATTAGGTGTACTTACTTAATGATTTCAGTGCTGTTCATTGCTTGTCGATAAAGTAATTATAATAGCTTGGGCACATGTTTAGAAAGCTCTGGAAAGCAGCTGAAGAAACTGCATTTTCTATAGTATCAGATATGGGAGGTGGCACTGGTATTAACAGTTGATGGTTTTCACTGGTGTGGTAGACTTAAGCATCTAATACACGGGCCTAGGATGCCATGATTCTCCTCATTTATATGGCCAGATTCTATATTTAAGCTCTAATTTTGAGTTCTCAGATTAATGAAAACTTTTCACTAAGTACTTTAGCATCACAACAGCCATGATGCTATTCTGCTATGTGTGATGCCATATGTATTTTATCTACCTGTGAAGTGTTAATAAGGCAATTACATATCTCGTGTGGTTGAAGATAGCAAACATCATTGACATAACAAGACGCATCAAGACTCCTGCCCATTGGGGAATATGTGATTAAAGACTAGTATGTTTGTAACCAGCTGAAACCCACTTTTCTGTGTCCTTACCTAAAGATGTATTTCCTTTTTCTTCCAAAAAGCAAACAGAAGCTGTCCTAGGCTAGAAGGTTCACTGGAGAAACCACTTAGCTCAAAACATCTCTTTCCTACCACTTCTTATCTCTTCCTTCAACAGGTCACCCACACTGTTTCTCCCTTTAATAATTTTTATAGCTCATAGCTCTTACAATTTTACTTTAGATCATCTGTAACAAGTATATATGGATCACTTTGGACCTTATTTCACACCCCCACAACTTTTTGCATGTTTTCCCGAAGAGTGGTCAATGCCTTCTCCCTCCCCTTCCCACCATCTTACTTTCTCATTCCACTTCCTGTATCATCATGCCTTTCTTTGTCCTCTTGGCTACTAAAAGAGACCTTAACTGTGGTTCAGAATCATCCTTTATAAGTAATAGTCATGAGATCTTAGGTTAGCTATAATATGATTTTCAAACATATAGAGCAAAATGAGTCTTATTTTATAGAAACAAAGTAGGAAGTTAATGTGAACTTTTTAAAAAATAAATCAAAGATTGATATTTGTGTAAACGTTTAAGTGAATTATATTCATTGTAATTTTGTACTACCCTACAGAATTTAAAATGATGACTTTCTGAATTTTTTAATAAACATGAATGGAAATATTTCTATATCTACTAATTTTCATAAGGGCTTCCCTTGTGGCTCAGCTGGTAGAAAAATCCACCTGCAATGTGGAAGACATGGGTTCTATCCCTGGGTTGGGAAGGTCCCCTGGAGAAAAAAAACACTACCCACTCCAGTATTCTGGCCTGGAGAATTCTATGCACTGTATAATCCATGGGGTTGCAAAGAGTTGGATACAGCTGAGCAACTTTCACTTTCATTTTCAATTTTCATGAAGACAATAAAAGTTAGCATTTATAAAGTAGTAATCTGAGAGCCATCTTATTAGCTTTTAGTTTTAAACTTCATATGGCTAGTGAGAAGACATGGTTCTTTTAGAATACCATGGCCCTTTTATATATTACTAATAAATACTAATGTCCTAAAAGGGGATGATAATTTACTTGTTATAAATAGTCTCATGATATGTCAGTAGTGGTCAGGATATCTTCACTGAAGAAGTCATAAGTAAATCTTTAGAATGGGAAACAACTAACCACAAAAAAAGGTCTAGAAGAGACCACTCAGGGAAGATAAAATGGTATATACAAAGGCCCTAACATAGGAGAGACCTTAACAGAGAAAAACCTGTGCCCTGGATGGAATAAAGAAAGTGGAGATGGATCCCTAAAAAAGATTCAAGTTGCATACCCAGAAGGAGTCTAAATTGTATTTGAAGTGCAATAATTATGCCTTTGAGATTTATTAAGAATAGTGACATCATGGAATGCACTTTTAAAAGATGGTTCTGGCTGTTGAGTGGAGTATAGTGGATGCAAAAAGAAGCAGGGTGACCATTGCAGTTATCTAGTCAAGTGGTAATGCTAATTGGAAGTAAGGGGATTTCAGCAGAATTGGAAATAATCACATGGAGTAACATATCTGAGAATTTAGGTAGCCAGACTTTCTGATGAATTTAATATGGGAAATGAGGAAGATGCAGGGTTTCAGGAGGGTGCCCATATTTGTGTTTTGAGCAATCAGTTGAATAATGGCACCACTGATCCAAGTTGCAAAGAGTGGGGTAACGGACATCTCTGGGTGTGGGAGGCATAAGGGTAGTTTTAAGCATGTTCACTTTGAGGTGCTTCTGAGATAACACGGGTAGAAGTTCCAGTTTCTGTTTCAGATTGGAGCTCCCAGAAGTCAGTGCCACGACTATAAATTTGGGAGTTGTCAATATGTGGATAGTATTTAAAGCCTTGTTATAGAGTGAAAACATAAAGATTCTAAAAGCAACACCTGAGGAAAACCAACAATTGGATATCCAGTAGAGGAGGAAAAAAAAAGACTTAGAAGGAGCTGTCTGAGTAGGAAACCAGGCTTGTAAAGAGAGGAAAGTGATTCCTCAAGGGATTGTTCTCACTGTTAGTTGTCACTGAGAAGTAAAATATGAATACAAAAGTGTCTACTGAACTTGGTATTATGGATGCCATTAGTGATAACATGATGGGAGCTACCAGGTAGGAGAGGAGCTGGAAGTTGACTGAAGTGGGTAGAATAATGAATGGGGAGTGAGGAATTGGAGACAGCAGTAACTAGAGGGGAATGTGGTCAGAGGGGAGAGGGTTTGTTTTGTGATAGAGATATAAGGGAACATTTGTATACTAATGAGAGTGACTCAGTAGAAATGGGAGACGAGGAGGATGGAAGCAGAGCAGGCAGAAGTTAACCAAAGGAGCAAAATCATTGATTAAAGAAAGAGGAGGGGGGACTAGAGCACATACTGGGGATTGGCCTTCAACTGGTGGGAAATTTCACCCTTTGAGACAGTAGGGAAAAGATTGCCGACACAAATAGATATATAGAATTAGTCATGGAATAGTGAAAAAGCTCTCTTCTGACAACTTCTTTTTTCTTGGTGGAATATGAGACAAGAGCATCAGATAGAGAGTTAAGGTGGGAAAGAATGAGGAAAAGTGAATCCGTCATTGTGAAAAGTGAGTGATGTTGTGTCCATCATGGTTGACCATGAATTCATGTTGCTGCCAGAATACTTGTTTGATTTTCTCCAAGGTTTGGCTCAGCTTGGTAGCCAAGATAGTAAAAGGAGACAGATTGTTGAGCTCATGTATGCTTCTATGATTCTTAAATCCTTTCAATTCCTATTTTTTATCTGTTGTATTGTATAAACTTTTAAGAATATCTTTGTTCTCTATTTTTAATACACTTTTAAATAACTCAATTTCAATATGTGATTTAAGAATGTAATTCACCATTGAAGTACTGTAACATAGACATATGTTTATCAGTTTTAAATTATTTTATGTTAGGATCCAAACTGTGTGGCAATCTATACATCCAGATGTGGGATGGTTTATTCCCAGTATCCTGAGCCCCGGCTACATGATGTATCCTTACTTGCACTCGAGTGGATTCATGTTCAGGGGAAGATGAGTTCCACAAAAAGCAAAACACTTGAATCTAATTTTCAAGCAATTATGTGTTGCCATTCTGAAATTAATTTTGACTATGGTGTTTAAGGTAAAATGTGTGGTGAGGGAAGAAAGCTAATAGTTGTTACCCCGAAGAGGCAATTGACATTCAAATATGTTAAAAAATAACTTATTGTTACTGGGAAGGATTTTAGTTATCATTTTTATATTATATCCATAGCAAATAGCGTATCAAAGAGGGATCACAGATGGTCATTCAGGAAATCTTCAGTGTTTATGGGTTATTGATGTTAGTAACTATAAAGTATTTTTCTACATTTCTCTTTTAGATAGTGGAGCCATATTTGTGTGTGATTTTTTGTTGTTGAATCTGTGAATTCAAAAAATTTCTGGCTGGGCATTTTTGCTCCTCTTCAATGCATTTATAGACTGCTGCCTTAAAAAAACATTAGAATGGCTTACTGGTTTTAACAATGTCAAGGACCAAAGCATAAATAAGAATGGGTAATTTATTCCAGTTGACAAATATTGATACATAATGTTTGAGAGGAAAAACTATTTCAGGACATGATGGTCTGCTATAGAAAAATTAAGTTTCTTACATAATTTAAACACAATCAAATTGTCTGGATTTTAAACATAATCAAATTTTCTGGAAACATATATGGCCTTAATAAAACTTTGATACTCAATAATTCCAAATACTACAGCAGGAATTTTTTGTTTTTTCTTGGAGCACATTTATTTGAATGACCAGAAAATGGCAGGGCTTTATATTGAAATAATACATATTTGAATTGTATCTTTAGCCATTAAAAGAGTATACTATGTATTCTATTATTAACTCCAAATCATTTTATGAATAATTAATATCTACCAAACTGGATAGTATCAGAAACTCTTATCTATTTTTTTAAAACCAAATAATTCACCTTTGAATATAAAACAATGTTACTTTAAAAACCAAGTTCTATATGTTACTGATAATATTTGGTAAGAAACATTGGACTCTGAAACATAGCATCCAACTAACAAACATAGTGTTTTTTTTCCAGTTCCCTTATCATCATCACCATCCCATTTCATCTCTGATCCTCCATTTGGAGAACTGGAAAATGCCACCACTTTCATTGTCAATAGTAAGGTTACATTCCAGTTATTTTCTAAAAATTCTGTGCATACATGATAGATTCTTATCATTCCAGGAAGAAGCTCTACTTCCGATGTTCTAGACACATACAAGTCTCCATTCTGTCATCAGGCCTTTCTTAACAAAGGGCTTAGTAAATCCATGGGATTTCTATCTATCAAAGACACACAAGATGAGGAAGATTATTTCAAGGACCTTTCATCAGATAATAACTCTGGACAAGAAGATTCAGAAAATTCCTGCTCCCCTTACCCTTTCAAATCTAGTGGCCCAGAAAAAAAAGCTGTCCCTGGCGTTGATGTGCTTCCCAAAAAGAAGATCTGGGCTTCGTCCATGGACTTGCTTCGCACAGGTGACAGAGATTTCTCTTCTGGGGAGACTGACAGATACCAACACTGTCTTCCTGAGGCGGTTACAGTGCGGACTTCAACCACTCCTAGGAAAAAGGAGGCAAGATACTCAGATGGAAGCCTCGCCTTGGATATCTTCGGCCCTCAGAAAATGGACCCAGCATTTCACCCACGGGAATTGCCCACCTCCTCGGCAATATCAAGTGCTTTGGACCGAATCCGAGAAAGACAAAAGAAACTTCAGGTTCTGAGAGAAGCCATGAATGTAGAAGGTTAGTAATTTTGTGTGTGTTTGAGAGAGAATTGAATTGTTTGCAATTGTGTTTGGAAATAAAGGGTTATGAAACCATTCCATAAGTCTTATTTCCACTGCCAAACCTTTGTACCCAAGTCAGGCTCTTTCTTCTTTGTCAGCTTATGTTCTTCCTCCCACGAAAACCCTGACTAAAGTACACTGTTTGCAAAAGTCGTCTCTGCTAAACATACCCGGTTCAGCCACCTTATGGTCTCTCAGTATTTTAGGTAGGCAGGGGCCATGTTTTCAACTACTTTTTAATCCTCCAGAGCATCATCTTTCATGCACCATCTTGTGGGAGGCTTCTGTAAAGGACTGGTTCATGGAAATGAGATACAGTTAATCAAAATCCGTTATCCAAGTGCAGCTTAGTCTGGTGATAGTGCAGTGGCCTGGAATGACGCTTAGATCCATGTTTTTATTTATTTTTGTTTAGATCTCTGTTTTTTGAAATCATAGTATTTAGGTTTATCAGTTTAGAGTCAGGTAGCCTAGGCTTGAATTATTTACTCTGTTCAGCAGTTACATGATCCTTACTTTAGCAGTGGGGCTTAATCATGCCAGGTCTTAGGTTAGATTCTGTATGTGTGTGTGTGCTTAATCACTCAATTGTGTCCAACTCTTTGTGGCCACATGGACTGTAGCCCACCAGGCTCCTCTGTCCATGAGATTCTCCAGGCAAGAATACTGGAGCGGGTTTTCATTCCCTTCCCCAGGGGATCTTCCCAACCTAGGGACTGAACCCAGGTCCTACATGGTAGGCAGATTCTTTACTGTCTGAGCCAGCAGGAAGCCCATGTATATAAAATGGGCTTAATAAAAATAAATTAATTTGGTAATGAATGTAACCTGATTAATAAATTATTATGAAATTACTATGGGAGCATAAAATGACCTTATAAATTACCAATTCTTACTATTTATAGGGGAATGCTCTTTCAAAAATACCTGATTGATGCACAAAGCACAGTGTATTGAATAGAATAAAACTGTGTTCTAGTCATATGGATAGAGGCTACTTTTAGTACAGATGGATGGAACAGAAAGCAAAATAAGTGTCTTCAATCTCATCCTCTACATTTTTGAAGATTAAAGTTTTATATATGCCCCTTGATCACTGAACCCCTGGGACATAACTGATTAAGGGGCTTTAAGGTGCTTCTAGTTCAGTGAGAGTAGTAACATAATGCAGGGTCATATTCGTTCAGTATTTTTAAAGTCAATGTCCTAGTTGAATGTTTTTAACTCATAGGTTGCCCTTAAAATACTCTGCTAAAGGTTTGTCCTGTTACTTAAGTTTCAAGCATAGTTCTAGAGCTGAAAATACATTCCACATTGTGCCTTAATTCTCACAAATGAAGCCTTGCATTTTTTTCAACATAGGAATTGCATATTAGTGAGGAAATTGGAATTATGGAGGAAATTATTGAACACATAATACTATAGGTTTGTATATAATTGTACTTTTATAAGCATTAGCCAGCATTATGAGATAGTCGAGTATAACCTAGATCTAAAAATTTTCAAAATCAGGGACTTGCCTGGTCATCCAGTGGCTAAGACTCTTGAGATCCCAATGCAGGGGCCCGAGATTCAATACCTGGTCAGGGAACTAGATCCTGCATGCCTCAACTAAGACTCGGTCAAGTTAAGTAAATAAATATTTTAAAGCTTTCAAAGACAGAAAATGAAAACTTAGAAATTTATTTTATGCATGATTTCACGGTTTAAGTCTTAGAGTTGTGACAGCAAAAAGTAGTCACTTTGTAGCTTAAAATAAAGTCTCTCTTTTCAGAAGTTGTATTTTATGACTATTTAATGTTACACCACAGCTAACATATGAATATAATTTAGCTTCACATTCTTATGAGCATTCCCTCATGGAGACATTTATGTAAATAAATTCTGCCCATTGTTGCGGGGGCCGGGGGCGGGGGGAACAATCTTTCAGTGATTCAAACAGATAAAACCATGATCATCTCAGAATATAGAATGAATATACACACCAATTTAGATGGCTTTCTAACATTTAAGAGGTTCAGTGGTATCTTTTCTTAACATGTGAATTATTAAAATTGTTGCTGTTATTGTTCAGTAGCTAAGTCATGTCCCGTTCTTTGTGACCCCATGGACTGCAGCACACCAGGCTCCGCTGTCCTTCACTATCTCGTGGAGTTTGCTCAAATCCATGTCCATTGAGTTGGTGATGCTAGCTAACCATTTGCCGCCCCCTTCTGCAAGTAGTAGTTTGGATATGTGAAGTCTGAGAGAAGTGTTTTTACATTTGAACCTTGGTTGAGAGTTAAATAGTAAAAAAATTAAAACTTTGGTGAAAATATTTTTTTAAATTATATTACAGTAAATAGTCTGTTTAACATGTTTTGTTTGAATATGTAATTTATAGGAATTCCCTATAAGCAAAACTTTGTCATGGTTTGCATGTGCATACAAGTAGGTGTAAGTGTAAAGAAACTCAAATAGATCAACTTGTTTTCAGATATGCATATATATCTGTAAAGATAATATATTGAGTTGGCCATAAGGTTACAACCCAAATGAAATTTTTGGCCAACCCAATATAATCTGTATAGACCCTTATTTGTTCAAAATACTAACTTGTTACCCCCCCCAAAAAAAAATTTCTGAATTGAAAAATTTTAGGTTTATTATAAGAGATATAAGAAAAGGAAAAGATTTCCTTTTAAAACTAAGATAAAATATGCTTTTAATTATTTGATGTAGGACAATTTTTATCCTGAAATCTACCTTTAGCATTAAAAGAGTTTTCAGAAGCATTTGCTCCCACAAAATATCTACCAATTTTTTCCCTAGAGTATATTTCATAACCAAATTTAAGTAAACAAAATAGAACACCTTAAAAATGTTGGTTTATTATGGAAATACTTGTACCATGTTAAATAAGCTCCATTATTATATAGTAACCTGCAAGTAGTAATAAATTATGTTTGCTTTTGACTAAAAGCATTGTTTGAAAGGAATGTTTGAAGTTTGGAATTCAAAAGCAATAACTCTTACTAGATATTTAGTTGAGTAACTTGCTGGTTTTATGCTGTGCTGTCTTTTTTGTAAAGGTAAAATAATTGATGTTGGCTGTGCAAAGTACAGATTGTTAATATGAAGAGTTTAGCTAGTATACTAAGAAGAAAAAAGAGTGGAAAATAACAAATCACTTATTTATTTCTTATGAAAAGTAGGCTTCCTGGATCCCTTTTGTGTGTGACAGATCAAGCCAAACGGTGGATATTATTCATATACCCATTTTCTTGTACACCTTTCTTTTGAAACATTCCTATTTTAAAGCATTTAAAAGTTATAATACTCCATGCAGTTTTTGTGATCTTTACAATTGGAAGTTGCTACTGAGGATTAGATGAGGTTTAATTAGAATTAGATGAGGTTTTAGAGCGCATGTGCTTGGGCATGTGAAGATTTAATAGCATACCCAGGATCACATAACTGGTTAATGATAAAGTTTCCATCATTATGGGAGATTGTAAATTTCCATCACAGATTTGGCATTCCAGTCTAAGGATTTCCCACTACATGTTACCTCCTAATTTTTAAAAAAGATGTATTACAGTGTCCAGTGGGATAATAAACAATCAGAAGAAAAGAAATTACTAAATTTCAGTTCATTCTTTGGGGCACATGAACATCATGAACTGATGGAAAAGACTGTTGTCTCCTTCAATCTCAAATGGATAGCTGTTTCCTTTAGCCCAGGCCCCATCCTCTTGAAAGGAACCTGTACCTAAATCACCTCCACAGCATCTCGTCAGCTGACAAAACCAACCAGCCAACTAGCACAAGGGAGACCAGACTTTAAAATCATGGAGTGGTGCTGGAAGGAATTTGGGTACCATTTTAAACATCTCATTTTCAGGCATCATCAGACCCCTTAGGTCTCTTCTTAATAACATTATATAATTTTTAATATAATAAAACAATATTTTGTTATGAAATAAAGGCTCGTTTGGGTCTTCCTTCAGTAAACCATACTGGGTGAGGGGTTGAGATGGAGCTCCATTTAACCATGTAGCAGACAGAGGGGTTATTTTCCTTTTTTGGGGTAGTGTTTTGATGGGGCTTTTTTATTGCAGGATCTGTAAAATGGTTATCCAGTACCTGATGAGATAAGAGAGTAAGCTATCAAAAAGCAACGGTTAGTATTAAGTGCTCTGATTTCTTTGGGAACAAAATAAAGAATAAGATTCCAAGGAATAAATTGTAGTTGAAAGTTAAAAATTATAAATGAAAGATTATTACTAAGATTATTAGTCATTTTCTACATTCATAAAGCCATTTCATACTGTTCATGGGGTTCTCAAGGCAAAAATACTGAAGTGGTTTGCCATTCCCTTCTCCAGCGGACCATGTTTTGTCAGAACTCTCCACCATGACCCGTCTGTCTTGGGGGGCCCTGCAGAAGATAGTGAGGGAAAGGGAAGGCTGGCATACCGCAGCACATGGGGTCACAAAGAGTCAGACACAACTTAGCAAGTGAACAACAGCATTCATATAGTAGAGGAGAGGCAGAAAGGAACATAACAGCTTTCTCGCATAGAAACTAGTTTTAAAATTTGATGTCATTCCCTATTTTTTTTTTCTTTATTCTTTTCATTTCACTCTTTCCACCTCAGCTTAGGACTGTCCTATTCTACTCTTTTCTTTCTTTGTTTCCAGGCTTTTCTTTTCCACCTCTCTCTGTTCTATCTCAAGAGCTGAGAAATCATCTGCTTTCTAATGAGAGCTTCTGTCCCTGTGCTGTTTGTGGGGTAATTACCACACACTCCCTGTCCATAGCTCTGTGGGTTGGCAGCACATTCCTGATTATGAGAGATTGGCTTGGAACCGGTACTGTGAGTATAGTATGAACAGCACTCCACACCCTGGGTGGGGACTGTGAATAGCATTTTGCTTACAACAGTCAAAACTCCCCTGCATTCTGAGTGATAC